TCCCCTGTTCCATTGGAGTAGATATCATAACCTGTTTAAGACCAGGGCTTTGCCAAAACCTTCGGCCCACGCGTGATTGAACCATGGTCACACTTACGCGGATAGCGATGATTTGCAGTGAGCTGCTTGGGCACAGCCAGAGGGCTGTGCACGGAAGTTGATGTAGAAGAGAGCCTATGGATCAGAGTATATGGGGTCAACAGTGGCTACTCGAAACTCTCATCATAATCGAATCCTGATGAGGGACCATTTTTGGTTCCTCGTATAACCCACGATCCAAACACACGAGGGCGTTTAAGCAGGACTCAATTCGGTCTCACTGGTCAAGGTTGAGCGTCTTTCCATTTGTTTCTGCGTAGGATGGAATCTGACAAAACCGCTTCCCTGAATTGGATTGAACTTTGGCCGCTCGTGCCATGACAACGCACCATCGCACTGAGTTATCCTGACATGCTCAGAAAGCATTCACCGTTGCTGATCTCATGAAAGTTGTGATGCCTTTTGTGATGCTCCCATACATTGTTTATTTCATAGTTTAGGCGTCCCAACAGTCGTCGCTGGTGCGATCGAATAGCGCATAGCAAGTGGTCGCTATTCCCAGAGATAAGACCACGGTTCAGTACCAAGTTCTCACAAGTTTTGCCAAAATGTATGGTTTTAAAGCCATACGACACTTGAACGATATATACGATATCTAAAAGCAATCATCAATGCAGCATGCAGAAACGGTGGGTAGTTGTTCTGTTCGCATGCTGATCTGTGCTGTACTCAGATTTCAAAACATTCTTCACTGAGCTTACTCCGCAATTCTTGCTGAGACAGTGATTAGTAGACCGGATTGGGAATTGTGAGATCCCTAATAGGGTAATGGCTGTGTCAAGCTCTCATCAGAGGATTCGAACCTGGACTTTACGTGTCTTCGAGCGCTCCACCACGACATTTGGGATAACTTCCACATCCCGGCCTGCTGCAATAAAGGTCACTATAATAAAAATAAACGGAACTTTCCCGCAGTTATGACGGTGGACGCAACTGAGAGACGTGCTCGCATTGGCACTAAAGTCTGGAAAAAGTTGCAAGGTTCTGATGGTCCATATTGAACGCGTCAACCCCACCATGACGGCGCATGGCCCGACAGCTCTGACCGTAGCACTCTTCACTTGAAAAAAACGCAGGCCCAATGACTTGAACCCTGCAGGAAGCCTCAATTTGTCGACGGGCGTCGAAGCGCTGCACTTTGGTGCGACACTTGGGATCGCCGGTTGGCGGTCCCAATCAGGAGAAACCGGAGGTGGTCCTTCATTGGGACCGCCGACCCGCAATCGTAAGTGTCACACCAAAATGCGCATTTTGATGGTTTACTTGGAAACCTCCCGAAAATCCATTGGTTCATCACCTCGCCTGATTTTCGCGAGACCTTCTCAGATCGAGAAGTCGTTTTCTTTCGCATCAGATATCTCTTGATATCATTCCATTGAAGACTCGTTGATCTTGTTCACACTTCCCGCTCGGGCGATTCTATAACGTGACTCGACCAATCGCGCTCCACCCCTAATCATTAGACCGCTGCTAATGCCGAATCGCATTCTGAACAGATCTTCTCTCTACTGTGATGGAGCGGTCCAGCGACTAGCCGCAGAGTATGAGTCGGCTTCAGTCGCCTGGTTTCCATACTTGTGAGACTGAATCGCTCGAGATGGGAAGTACGAATGCAGCCTTTGCTTCATGTTGATTCGCGCTTCTGCCCCCCTCCCCCCCCCCCCCCGCGGCCAATCTGATGGTAAATCTCGTATAACACTGAAATGTAGTGAATGCGTTGTTCTGTGAGTGGTATTCTCTACAATGACCATATCAGTGCTGATAACTCTTCCCAGTGTGGTATGTACTTGTGTAGTAGCGGATATAGTGTGCTGCTACTGTTGTTATGACCGATGTTAAATGCTTCACAGAGAGAAATAATAAAAATTATTATTAGATAACATGGACTATACATTTAAAATAGAAATGTAACACAGACTCAGTGAGAGAGAGAGAGCGAGCGAGCGCAAGTGGTAGTGCTGCGGTGGAGTGGACTCGAACGACGTCACGGACGACTTGATGACTTGACGACGACGACATTGTTAGTAGGGAGTGAACCGTGCGCCACTTGCCTTGTGGGAGGCGCTAGCCGGCGAGTTGGCGCCTTTCAGTAGCGGTGCACCCATCAACACACTGAACGGTGGTAAAAATTGGCTTGGCAGTTGGTTAAATGACAAGGCCTACTGCGTGCATGAACTCCAGACAGTCATTCCGTTTTGTGAGTGGCAAAGTTATGACAGCTTCAGAATTAGCCACGTGGCCGTGCTGCGACCGCGCGCGTCTGCTGCCAACGGTTGCAAAAAGATCCGTCTGGAGTTCAGGCACAGCACTAGTTCATACGGTATAACTGTAAAACAATGAGACAAAGAGCTGTAAAGCGTCTCAAACTAAGCAATTGCCCAAACAAAGCGTCTAAAGACAGAGGGGCGAAAGAAAAGAGCTCTCTCAGTTTGGAAGGCATGCAAGAAAACAACACCTTTGCTACCCGCTACCCTAAGTTGGTCTTGTCAAATTTACTCGTGCAATTCACTTTTCTTGTATTCTTTTCATGAAACGCTTTATTATATATTATTATTATATTCTTTTGTCACTAGCTTGGCTACGGAATGTCACATCGATGCCTACTGTTCTCTACCTGCTGTTGAGTGCCGCGTACTGATTGATCAGTTCAAATTGTCGTTCGTCGCCCAAAAGACCGGCCGCTGCTGCGAACGCCTTCGTCGGGTCCTGGCCAAATCCGCCAGCGATGGTGGCCGTCTGCTGGGCAGTCGGAAACCCGGCACCGGCCAGAATCAATCCACCACCGTACACTGAAATTCACATAAGGCATGACAACGCAGAAATAATCCGACACCCGTTTTATGAGCCTAAGCTGCACACCTTGAAAGTCAGGATTGGGAGCCTTCACAGTTGATTAGGAGAATACCATGAGAGGCGTGAAGGCGAGATGCAGTTGCAGTGGGAAAGAAATCAGAGCGTTACCGATAAAAATGTTCTACATTTTTTCCCATTAGTTCCCATATTCCCCACTCTTGTCGGATGCCGATGAAGGGGTGTGTCAGGCTGGATGGGTATGCCGCCGCGCCAAACCCATCCCGCCTGACCCACCCTTTCCATTCACAGCTAGCAAGCCTGTAATGAAGCAATCAGTCTAACCTCCCCCCCCCCTTCCCCAGTAACTCAGAAAGTTTGTCTGGCCCGCGTCAAGGCGGATACAAAAGGTGGTCGAAAATTGTTGGAGTTGTTTCACTGATCAGAGTCATCTTTCTTGCGCCAGTTGGGTCAGAAATACCCCCATGCCAATCTTCTGTCAGAATCAATTAACCCGTTATCGGTTGCAACCACGGCTTCCATAGCAGCTCTTATGGTGGTCACCTTCGGACAGTTCAGCCTGATCAAGAGATAAGTGGGCACCAGATTCTGATTTGCCTGGAAAACAAATCCCGAAGTGTAGCGAGATTGTCCAATGGCTGATGTCTTTCACTGCAAGCAGCTCGTGCAGGGAGGGACGGTCTGCACGAACCTGCACTCTGAAGGCTAAAGAGCTGCTTTAAGTTGATGGAAACACTATAGGCCTCCATGAACTCGATTACGATTATGGATGGCTTCACCTTCTCGCGACGGAGGAGGCAGTGGTGCAGGATCCTTGTCACCGACGTCAGCTTTGATGGTGAGCCGCGAGAGCACCACGAGAGCACCGCGAGTGCACAGTGTTCTTCTGCCCTCCCCCTCCCCCCAAACACTACATCTGTTTTGACGTTCTGAACTTGTAAAACAACCGCATCTCGCCTTCATAGACTCTCATGGTAGCCTGTGAACGTTGGTAGTAAGAGGCTCAGTTTTTTTTTGTGCAAGAAAGCACACACTCACTCAAACAGGGATGCAATAATTGAACATAGGAATGATACATGATGAAATTATAGGAGCTTAGGGATTGGAATGGGGAAGTGAAAACCGAGAGGTGGATAGGCTTGGCAGGGAATTCAGACGGCACACATACACACGATCATCGCGTTTTTTTTAAGAAATGAAATAGCTGAGGAAAAGCGGCAGCGTTGTGAGCAGAAGACAACAGCGGAGCGACCGGAGCACTGGGGATGGAAGCGGAATGAGCGGGAAACGCAGATAACTCATGAAGGCTATATTGGTTTTCATGTAACAGTGCAGTAAAAAGACGGCAATTTTACAAGCCATGCGTCTTTGTGGAGAATTGGTCCGTTATTCAAAAGGGTTTCATGAGTAATCTGCGTTTTCCAAACCCCGGAGGCGAAAGTGGAACAAAATAGTTGTTACAAACGTTGCCCTGGTGAGGGAAATTGGGTGTACTAAAAAGGAGTACCGCTCATCCGCTGGATATCTATGGGGAGCAGGACAGTTCAAAAGAAGGCTAAAACTCAAAATGGCTAGCCCATCATGCAAATCAGCAAAGAAAATCTAAGCGAAACGTTTTTCAGGTGACACAGTGACGTGACGTTAAAGCCGCACCCCCCTTCGGTTAGCCATGCCTGTACGAGGTCAGATGATAAACGTGGTCGCGGGACATACTGTGGACCAGCGCCAAATTCATAACCATCGATCTATCAGCCAAATCGCGCAGCGTCCGCATGTTCGCAAGCCTGTCGCCACCGCCGTCAGCGCGATTCCCGGGAGGTCGAAGAGGGTCGTGTTTATAAGAGTGCACGAAAATCTGGAACAAAAGAACAAAACTAGTGAAAGTGAGAGTGAGTGGGAGTTGATAGCAGTACCTTGGGAATTGAGGGTAGGAGTGGATAGGAAGGCGGACGTCGGCCCGAACTGCGCCGACGCTGGTACACCACGTGCCAGCTGAAAACACAGAAAACAATGGTCTTGGTGTAAATCATTCCATTAAACGACGACTTCCTCTGCTCATAAAACGCTGAACAATTCGAGTTTTAGTCTGTCAGTGATTTTCTCAGTCACAATCACGGCTATCGTGCAACAAATGATGAGAACACTTGGAACATCAGAACAGAGAGATCTTTGGCATGCTCCTTCAAGTGGGGATGGATAGATAACGAGGGACAGCAGCGTTCCACTGCCACCAAAACATACCCTTCTTATGAAAGATACGAAAATAAATTTTGGGAAAGACCACTGCTCGATTAGCCTTTAACATTCCTTCGGTTGTTGCCGTTAGATGAGCGTCACTTTCAATTCACGCTACCTTTCAGACGCAAAATACTGGGCCCAGAGCTAAACGGCCCCGCATACGAGCGATACGCCTTCGAAGGAACAGTAACCATGGGGAAAAAAAGTGAGACAAACTACAGAGGGATCTACGACAGTGGAGTGCTGCTGTTCTCGTGTGATGGCTTATGCTGGACGACATCTGACGGAATTGGATCGGCAGATGTTCTTCACACTGAAGGATATAGTCATGCTGAGGAAACCGTGAGATTCTGCCCAGCACCAACCACAACAGCTCAGAGCGTTTTTACCCTGAACCCATTTTTGCTCTGTTTAGAATAGCCGAAAAATAGAAGAGTACTGGTAGCATTACTGTGAAAGCAATTTACCAGATTAAACTCATTCAAGGAGAGCACAGTAGAGGAACTGCTCTCTAAAAACGCAGCATAAACTCGTCCAACAATCTTTTTGTGACGTCATGCAAATAAAACGGTAAGAAAATCAGGGGAAAGTTGAAGGCGTAGGATTGACGAGGTATGGGTAACCACGAACAAATTAAACGCAATCACAAGATCGTGCGCGTCACGACCATCATCAGTTGCAACGCAACGTTGGAACTCACCTCTGACGGGAGGAATTGAGCGAGATGAGCTTGTTGAAAAAGTGCCGGTTGTAGCAAAGCTGCCAGTTGTTGCTGTTGGGCAGCAGCGGCCGCCGCTGCAGAACTGGCCACCAGCAACGAGTTGAACGTCGGTTTCGGCCGGTACGGTAACGTTGTGCCTTTTGGTGGGGCCTGCAAGTATTGTACTAGGTTCAGCATCTGAAAAGTAACTGTCTACCTGAAGTGGCTCGTGAGTCGATGCCCTGATTTTTCTACTGGATTATTCATGAAAACTGTCTTCCTCTATCTCTCCCACTGGGCATTCTCCCTGCCAAAATTACTGCGAACTCATTTCCCAGCAGAGAGAAATTTGCAATGTGACGATTGTAGAGCATATACATGTCGAAACTGACTGATTTCATGGGAGAGTTGCACGATTCCCTTCATGGTCATACCGCGTTCAAAGCAGATCGGTCGCCGATGTACACTCTAGTTCTCTGCGGACGGTTGGGCGTGTCAGCCAGTATGAGTGTGTCACCCTATCAAAGCCGTTCTCTGCCTTCTTGTTGAAGAGCGCATGCGACAAAAAGTGGTAGAAACGAGTAATACGAAGCATATGATACAGTATTGTCACTTGCCCGCTTCAACAACTGGTGTAGAACGAGTTTGGCACCGCGCCAAACGCAGCCGCACTGACACGCCCAACCGTCCGCAGCGAACTACAGTATAACAAGCTGGGCAACGGTGAGGGTGGAACACATCTTATTGATTCTTCTATAATGAGATGGGGGGGGGCAATTACAAGAGGACGGTTTTACGGCACCCACGGCAACAGAGACCCTGCAGCAAGCACGGACGAAGATGAAGGTATGTCATCGAGATGGTTCTAATGGCTAGTGCGGCTCTCCAAAAGCGGTGTCGGAACGACCACCCCCTCGCAGCACTATTCAATTTAAATTTCGCACCCATGCAATTGAACGGATCACTTTAAAATATCCCTCCCTTTGATGACAGGTACCCTTTTTCGGTCGACAGTGACTTTGGGAAGGGTATTTGTGAAATGGGAATCGACATCGTTAAGTTATACTGACCCTTGCCTACTACAAGAGTGCTTCCCTAGTCTCTGATGAGCTTCTGGAGAGACGCATTGGAAAAAAAACTTTGGATGCTTTTCTACGAAGACGATGTGGTCCTCGTCAGTGAAGATAGGAACCATCTCGAACAGCAGGTGCGCTGATCTGATCCCTGGCAAAGTCCGTATTTGATAAGAAACTGATATGAGGGCTGAATTCGCAGGTGAGCACCATAGGCTGAATGGAGCTCCGGAACTGCAGTTCTGTGCAAGAGATGATACAAGGGCGCTTCAGATCGACGATCTATGGAAGTGTGGTTAGACCAGCAGCATAGTACGGTGACATCGGCACCAGAAAGGCAGTCGCACGTTTAAATTGAATACACAGCCACGGACTGTCCATCTTTTGGATATGGAGTGTAATTCACGCGAAAGTCTCCAGCTAGAGATGCTCAAAAACCCCTTAAAGGCTGTTGACGATAAATCCCCCAAGGCGACTAGGATCAATACTCCTGGCAGGATAGAATTCCGCGACCCTGGGCAGGCGCTGCATAGCGGTTTCCCCGAGGAAGGTGCCCTTATAAGGGCCCTATCAAGCCACAACTTTACGTCCCAAACGCCACGCCCGCCCGCCCACAAATGGACGACCGTTCCTGACGCTCGTATTCATTCATTTGCTAAGCAAATTATGAAGCGAAGGGATTGGTATGAAGCATGCATACATGGGTACACATATGCAGCCGTATCTTCGGTAGCGGTGATTGGCAAGATGCCTACGGGAAACTCGTCCGAAATCGATTTACAAGTCAGAGAACGGAGGCTTTTTCTTCGCAGGATTTTGACCGTTTCACTCCGTTCTTTCGCCATTTCCCCACTATGCACTACTAGCATTTTAGGCTAAGTAGGAAACCATCGTGCCAACTGCATTCAAAGGACGCCTTAAAGACAGCCCCACTCTATTCAAGTCCACAGTGAGCGGGGAGCGAGCTACAGCCGCTCAAAGTTCTAGTTCTAACGCCTGCTCAGTTGGACCGCCTTACTTGCTAGATGCCCTCCGACGAGGCCACTCAGTTGTTCTTAGTTGGGGCGGCGGGCATTAATCGGAATTGCATCTCCTTTTTGCTGACTCGTGCCCATGGATAATTCTGCTCTCCTTTATTACAGTTTACTCAATGGGGGCATATACATTCAACTCAACCCATTTCGCGAGGTGAAACGCGTAAAAATCACGAGTGACGCAATTTTCGTGGTGCAAAAGCTCGACGCACTTCAGTGCACTAAAATGTGCGCTACCGTAACCCAAAATTCGGACACCGAGTTTTTAAAATTTCTTTTTCCTTCCAAGAGTTTTTCCTCTGCGTTTTTGTTGTTTTTTGTATTCTTTTTTTGCACTGGATGATATCAACTACTGCGAGATGTGATAGAGAGATTTGTGAGCTAGGGGTTGCACAGAGACCGCAGGGAGGTGTGACTATGAGGGAGCGATTTTGTTTATGTTGTTCTGGAGGACGCTTCTTGCCTGTTTTCTTCTTTGGGAGATTACTTATCAGCTACTGTTTCATAATTGGAAAGCAGCTATCCATGAGACTTTTATCGCGGGAGCTGTCTTTAAGCAACGCTGGCTAGACACGCTACACGCGGACTTGAAGAGAGTCGGTGTCCACACAGATCAGGCATCCAGCGGGAGAAATGGCGTGACGAAATCAGAAAAGCGGACCTCTCCATAGAATGGGACAAACGCTGAAAAATAAGGGAGAACTGGAAAAAAAGGCCTGCCGAGTTCTTGTGCTCTGAACTTCCATAACATTCGTAGTATGCGATCATTATTCGAGTATCTTCGCTTTTCAGAACGTAATACATTTTTTGAATATCCCCTCACTCGCGATATTTTGCATGGATTTTTGATAGGCAATATTCTGATCCACTCAAAAACTCGATCCTCTTGTGCCGTTATGACAAAACTCATTAGGATTAGGAAACCTTACCTTAACCTTAAAAGATCCGATTGACTGGAAAGGCTCACTACTCCTTCTGTTTGAGAGTTCTTCAATACTGACCAACCCTGCTCTAACGACGCCCTCCCCCTTCCATAGGATCCATCGATGGGGTTCCGCCAGCGATGATGTACACTGATAGAACACGGCACCCACGGCAATGATGGGCGGACGGTAGCAGGGCATCCACGGCAAAGACTCCGCAACTGGGTGAGAACACGGCATCCACGGCAATGTTGGGCGGACGGTAGCACGGCACCCACGGCAAAGACTCCGCAACTGGGTGAGAACACGGCACCCACGGCAATGTTGAGCGGGCCACCTCACGGCAAGAGCTTCTAAACGAATGCAGGCTAGGATACACGCGTCAAGTTTGGCAAGGAGGAAACCATTCAGTAACGGCACCATGATCCCGAGCGCATGTAGGCAGGAGCGACATTGAAAGCTTTCCATTAAAAGGGAAACTGGCAGAGTAAGGATAATGGATGGCAACACGACAGGGCGTCGGATGGCACCATTT